TATTTGTCAAATCTCAACTCAACTACATTATTATGTCCACATGCTATTTTTTAGGCCAAAATATGGGATTGTCCGTACTTTTAACAAAAAAAAAAGGGAAAGTTCCCTATCAATGCTCTATATTTTAGTTCGAATGACAATTTTGTAATCAAACCTTAAAATACTATAATTTAATACTCAAACTTTTAAAATGTGACAATCTAGTACTTGTTGTTAATCAGTTTATGAATCAGCAGTTAAGTGACATTTGAAAAGTAAAATTGTCTTTGAATGTCATCTAATTCTCTTTAATAACCATCCAATCGTTAACAAAAGAATGAACAATCCCAAATACTATTCTCTTTTATTCAAAAAAGTTAGTGATTGTTTAGAAGAATCTAGAATTTGGGATTGTTTATTTTATTGTCAATATTTGGATGGTTGATAGAGAGAATAAGATGACATTTAAAGGGCATTTTTGATCTTTCAAATGTCACTTAATGGCTGATTAATGAACTGGTTAACAGTAGGTACTGGATTGCCATATTTTGAAAATTTGGGTACTTGATTGTCACATCTTAAAAGTTTGGATACTGAATTGTTGCATTTTAAAGTCCGGGGACCAAATTGNAGAAATATCATTAGAAGAAGGCCAATTGCATGTCTACTCCTTCATGGACTATGTTTGCTACAACAAGGATTCGTGGGTTAGTGCTGACACGTCCAGAATCTTCATGAATATGTATAAAACGCCCTTCACTTACTCCGACACTCGCAACATATTCACGGCTATCGGTTGCAACATTCTAGCCTMCAGTACCTACGATAATGGGAATAAACCGGTTGGCATGGAAGACTTCAATACGGGTGTTACTTGTACTGCAGCGGCATGGGTCGTTACTGCCAGACCACCGTCGCCAAGGGACTAAAGGTTCTTCAAATGAATTTGCAGGTCCTAGATAACTCATCATGGGRTATTAATCCATGCAAATACTCTTTCATCGCTGAGAAAGAGTGGTACAACTTCTCCAAAAACGATCTCTCGGGCTTTGATTTCTACAAGAGAAACAGAGGAATGGTTCCAACAATACTCGACTGGTCRATAGAGAAAGAAAAGTCATGTGAAAATGTTACGACGAGAAACGAAACTACTTATGCATGTGGCAACAACAGCAACTGTTACANNNGCTTATAAATATATACAAACGAAAGAGGGAGGGGAAAATATACATCTCTCCGTCAAGTGTAGAAACTTAACAATGGCTGTAGCTCGGGTTATGCTGCTGTTTCATCAGCTCCTACTCCTGTTGTTACTGTTATTGTGGAATCTCTGCATAGTAACTGCGATCTCATCACCAATAATGGCGAAGCCAGGCTGCCCAGACAGATGTGGGAACATCATCGTTCCCTACCCATTCGGCCTTGGAGACGACCCAAGCTGTTACAGAGACGATGGTTTCTGGCTGATATGCAATCACACTTTCAGCCCTCCCAAATTGTTTGCTGCAGACATTCAAATTATGGAAGAGAAAGAAAAGAACAGTTCCATCAACAATACTACATTGGTGGAAGTCAAAGAAATATCATTAGAAGAAGGCCAATTGCATGTCTACTCCTTCATGGACTATGTTTGCTACAACAAGGATTCGTGGGTTAGTGCTGACACGTCCA